AACCAGTTACATGATGAATGGTCGCAAGAAAATTGACGCTTTCAAGTTAAACTCGAATGTATAGACCACCTAATAGACGTTAGATTCCGACTAAACGTTTGTGTACAGCTGTCATCTGGCGCGTTTTTTCTTTTACGCCGAAACGTATCCGAAGAGACAAAACGCCGATGTGGGCGAGAAAACAAAACCTGTTTAGTTACGCTGGATCATTAATGGACAAGTAAATCTGTCTGCTTTTATTGAAGTGAATTCCGTCTGTCCTGTCCAGTTTCGATAATCGTGTATGCTTAATAACGAAATAACTTTGAGGAATCAATACGGACGTCAGATAATTCAGATAATTCAATAAATTTCGTTACACCGAAAACGACGAATCTCGCCGTTTTAAACGGCCGTTTCGATGGCAGCTCTTTTTTCCATCTCTCTATATCGCTATCTAAACGAAATCTACCGGATAAGAGAAGCAAAATCAACAGCCAGACAAAGGGGCTCGACGCTTTCCACCAATGAGACCCACAGGAGGGAATTCCAGATTAATATCACGGTGTCTGTGTTTTAATTTGTAAGAATTAATAAAAGGGATAAAGTCGCCATTTTGTAGCGCAACCCTTCCTATATAATAATCTCATTAAGCGGGGTGCCCGTCGGCGCAGGCCAAGCGTAAGAAACGGGCTTTTAAAAGGGGTGAAACAAGCCGAAGCCGGCTTTGATATACCAACCACGCGGCTGGTCACAACACGTTGTTGCCGATGTGTCGATTTTATTATCTCTTCATTTCGATACATACCATTTTTCTCAAACTATACTATACAAAAAAGTTAACCGCAAGTTACTTAACTACATTTGACCACTTTTGAAAAAAATATGTGATTGAATTTTAAAATGCGCCGAAGAAAGTGAGTATAGCTCGACTAAGCACAATCTAACTACCTACACTCAAAAAAATAATAAATATATTCACTGAACGGCAACGTCGCAGAAATCGTATTGTACACATGTAATAATATGTCTCAAGCCAGACAATTAATCGGTGAAGGGAGCTTTGAAATTTGATTTTTCCGGATCGAGTTTGGCGCGATCGTTGTCGTAATCACAGAACAAGGGGCAGAGGGTAGATCGGCTCGCAGGAGGCGAAAGTGCAGGCAGGGCGTCCCTCATTCCGCTACAGTTAACCGGGATTTTATCACGTTTCATTAATTCGATGAATCTAAATTGAATTTTGCGAATTTTAATGTTGCCCGCGCGCGTTTTGCATACGTTCCGCGGCGATTTATTACTTGGAATATCGGCGTCGATAAAATTGGTGTTGGAGTTTTTTTATTTGGGGAATCAGGTGCGAAATTAATCGCATTAACTTAAACTTCCTGTACCTACTCGGATTGTTCGCCGATAAATATCTTCTAAAATCGATGGAATTGTAGAGGTGCAGAAGGTAATATTCTCCCACTTTTTTAGTGCTTTTGGTCATACTTACCTATACCTTTATATTCTTTCAATTATTTAAAAAAACTAATTAATTTGAAACCACTAAGACCAGCCAGACGAGAGTAGGTATACTCGCATTATCAGTTTACTGACCTGGTGCAATGAACGCCGTGACGAATTCCAGTTACAAATCGTCAATTTTCCTTCGGAATAAAGGAACACGACAAATTTAGCTTTGTTTTTACAATTAATACGATTCGTAAAAAGTTTGATTCTTAAAGGAAATCACGCTTGGACGGTTACCACTGGCTCCGATATCTTTTAATAAATTTGTCGTCTCGCCCACCAAACCATAACCAACAAATCGGCACTTGGACTGGAGGATTTATGCTTATTAAAAAAGCGATTAAACGCCTGGTGGAGTGATTCTTGCGACAATTTTAAACTTTTTTTTTAATTTTTTTTAACTCATTAGTCTCGAATAAATGCAGATCTCCGATCGACAAGAAAGCGTTTAACCGATTTTGATGGAATTAACGATTCTATAACTACTTACATATACTATGGTTAGAATGAACACTTTAATAGCTAAATACTGTAACATGCAATTTTACACAGCTTAATTATGACTAATTTACGACTAATAGGAAAACCTCAATATTTACTAAGTTACAATCGCCTTCGAAAAAACACCAATAAACCAACAATGCCTTTTTACCTAAAATTTGACAGTGTTTTTTTACTGACAGCAGGTGGTTCTGCACTTTACGATTTATAACAAACAAACCACATTTCAAATGATAATATTTTTGTAGGCATAAATAACTATTTTGTGGAAATATCCCAAATCTTTAATTGGTTGTAGATGTAAAATATCTAGGTAAAGGCAGTAAAAATTATTAAGTTATGACAGGATACTGGGAACAAATTATACCTACAAGTCAAATTTTTAGGTACCTCTACCAGGTAGTGCCCTCGTGAAAGATTTAGGTAAAATATTTATGTTTTTAGGGGTTTGTTAATAGGAATATATCATCAATTTTCAGGAGAACAATTAATTTAATAAATAGTATACAGGATGTCCCGGAAAATGTGGGAAATCTCTCGGATCCAGAAGGAACTTGAAAAAATAAGATGGGAAGTTTCTATAAAAAGTTTTTCCGTACAGGCCCTCCCTCCGGAGGTAAAAATAAAACCTGAATTCGTTTATTATTTTTTTCTCGTAATTAATTCATTTTATCGACATTTGCAACGGATACTTTTTTTATAGTTTAGGGTTCACGCTCTCCAGATTTATGTTTCTTTATCATATAGAGTGTTGAACATTAAGGCATTAAGGTGTAAACCTTAGCCAGGCCCTGGTAAACTAAAACAGCCAAATATGAATCAATAAGGGCACTTCAATAATAATTCTATTAAATTATATCAAGTACTTTAAAAGATATAGGAAAACCTATTTCCAGCGGCCTGTAGGGAAAACTGTATAGGAACTTCTTATCATATTTGTTCGTATTCTATCTGGATCCGAGAGATTCGGCAACTCCGTTAATCGATAAAAAAATTCATTTTAGTACCAATTAAATTATGCAAACTTCCATTTTGCCTTATATTAATATTGGGAAAACATATTTTTAGAAAATTATTTATTCAAAATTCAATTTTATGTCGCCGAATGATGGTTGCCTCGACTCCATTATCCGGCTCTCGACTCGTTATTAATTAATATCGAAGTAATTTATGGCCCGTCGAATATTTATCAATAATAAGTCGTTTTATTTCCTTATTTTTTAGGCATTTTGATTGGGTCACACCTTCATTATTGATTCGTCCGTCAATAATTAAAAACGAAACCTAATGGAGTTCATAAATTACTTTTTATTATTTAATTTATCTTCTAGAAGTAACCGTAAAAAATACCATAAAACTGAAGAAAAAACACGCTAGTATTTGGTACCTTAAAATGAATTTAACTAGATGGCTTTATATTTCAATATAAATTATTCATAATCGTTAAACATACATAGGTATAGTACCTACATACATGTATATTTAATATCTGAAGAAATTAATTGTAGGTTTATTGTGTTTTGATGTTTATTGGGATTTATTTGAATAAAATTGACGGAAATATAAGGAATACAATTAGATGTAACTAAATCTCAAACTTAGTAAATATAAAGTTCTTATAAGTATAGGTACCTACTACAATGTTGTAGGAATTGCAATAGGAACTTTTACTTTGTTTAAAAAGTGGACGAAACCCAATAAATTGTTTCAGAATTTTCAAAATAAACTCCAGATCGTCAGTAAACAATCAAAAATTATATACTTTAAGAAAAATAAACAGAATAGTTGGTCGAATCTACAAAAGTTAATATACACAAACTGAATTCGGTTCTACACCAAGATCTTTCCGAATAAATAATCTCGATTTTTCCCAAACATCATTCGCCTATAAAAATTCATGAAAATCTCGGTTAATTTTCTTCGCGCCTGTTTATTTTCTTAAGAGGCATCTTCCAATGATTGACGGCTCGAATAATATCATTACCATAAGCTCACGTTTTTTTTTTCGAAATAAAACCAGTAGCCGGTGTTTAGAAGATTTCGCCTTACTTACAAAGTGGAACGGTTTTTTGGCCTTGCCGACGGCATACCAATCGATTGGTTACGTAAGAAACCGCTTTGATGGATTGTAGAAAACTGGTCAATTTTTAACGGTCGTCTAATCGTCCAGTCTGCGTTAACGACCAAGTCCAAGCAAGATGTGCGGGACAATCCGTAGGTGTACTTAGGTATCCAGATGGGCAATTTTCATTTACTTCCTATTTTTAAGAGCTTTCTAGTAGTGCTTTGCACATTTCAAAAATTATGATAATTTATTGTAGCGATTTATTATTTCCTTCTAGAATATTTTAAGTATATTTTTATGTTTAATGAAAAAACACAGATGAAAAAATTTTGTAGCAATTAATTCTTCCGCGTTGAAAACGCGATCTTTACTTTAGATATTTCCAATGAAATACGTTCAATACACCTGACATGTTGCGAGCGTCGCAACAATCACCAAAGAATGAGCATTCCGAGTAAATTACCCACTTTTATACACCGAACATTAAAAATAATATCCTTAATAAACTTTCAATAATTGTAAGATATGAGTGACACGGCTTTCCGACGGCCGAGCCACAATTCACCGATGCCCATATAGTGACATTACGTTTTTTCGCAAGGCGAATTATAAATATTATTAGGTACATAAATTGTGTATAATTTGTTCTTATTGCCGTCGTTTTGCGGAGTTTATATGTACGGTTGGATCGCGAGTTATTCGGAAAATTAAGGTGCACTGCGCTCAAACGAACCGACTTTTGTGCCTTAAAGTGCTTCAGTAAAATTCTACGACTTTAAATTAATATAAAAAAAGCATGCAAATTTTTTGTAAAATTCGTCTTAAAATTCTTCACCTGAAGCTTACATAATTTCTATAAATTGTATATGTAACGATTGTAACTTCCCTAATATTTACTACAGGAGGAGAAACTCGTGCATAAGTATTTATCAAAAAACGAGATTTAACAAAATGCCCTATTGTACAAGGCTCTGATCACGGATAAGGTAGGAGTTATTCCGCCGACGAAATTTAATAAAGCGCTGGCTGAACCACCTGGGCGAGTTTTTCTCCTTCATCAAACATTACTGTCATTCTAACGACCATTATAGTGTATATAATTAAATTAATGTTTACACTAGATATCATCTTACCAGAATATTTTCCGGAACAACAGATGTTGTGTTTACTATAGGACATGCAGTGACCTTTAACCGGTTGAAACGTGATTAATTTTTCCAATTGAATCAAATATTCACATAAATGTGCATCACTATTTTTTAAATTATTAGTTATCAATACTGTCAAATAATAATCTTGATTTATTGAACAATTCGCGTAGGTTTGTTTTCCCAGATGAAGTTTTTTAAACTCATAGAAGATTATGTGCTCTTTCTTAACAATAAATAAATTTCAAGGCCAATTATTAGTTAGATTTTGCAAACAAAAATTAAAATCGAAAATATTGTTGAAACGGTTGCGGATAATTTATTGAGTTAAGTCTGTTCATAAAATTTATTTTGTAATTAATCTAAATTGTGTCAAAAATTTAAAAAATCGAGAATTTACGGGTTTGATTTCGTAAATTTCTCAATGCTTCATTAATAATTTAGTAATTAATTTTGAATAAACATCACATTACAGTTATTCAGAAAAAAATTATAAACAAATTTATTTACAAGCTCGTAACGAGAAAAAGACATTTTTTTAGTATAATACACTCCAGTTGATTTATATGAGCTTAAACTAATTAAAGAAATGAATAGCTTCTGAATATAAATATTATATTAGTTGATCAACTATTCCAGACGTAATTATAGCAAAAAATTTACCGTAAATATTTAAACGAGTCGAATTAACCACCTATTTTTAAAACTTCCAGAAAAAAATGATAATTGTAATATAAATGTTTGCATCATAAAAATTCTAATTACTCGAATTATTGGAACTTTATAAGTTAACGGGAAATATTTTCTGAAATTATCTAGTTTCATTAATTAGTATTTTTATTTATATCTACTAAATTATCTTCAAATAAGTAGATATTCCTAATATTTTAACTTATAAATTTTAATTTATTAAATTTCCTATTATGTAATTACTATATTGGTGTGTATGAAGTTTATTTCAACATTCTCTTATGAATGAAAGTTAAAGTAACGTTACGTATTCAAAAAGTATGTTCAGAAGATAAGAAAAAAGTAAATTTTGTAATTCTATGTTTTATATTTAAAAGTATAGTTTTTTGTATCTATTCCATATTTAATTTATTTATAGGGAGACCCGTTCGAATTAAAATACATCAGCTTTGCAACATTCATTCAACACTATTCCTGCGGATTTTTCATGCAAATAAAATGCAAAAAATATTTACAGAAATCGAGTAGCCAAATTTTCGAAAAAAAAGTATGGTAAGTCGATGGACTTACCATTAAGATTTGTCGTAGCAGGAAATTCGGCGTTTGGAGCAGGATCCTCGTCATCCAGGAGTCGAATCGGCCTGGCCTGTTTCCTTCTAGACATTATCACTGCACAAGTCACTGTCCACACAAAAAAAAATTATGCACTTAACTAGCGGCACTCATGTTATCAGTTATTATCGGTTTGATTGGTGCAGGTACCATACGATCGGATCGGCGTCGCGATGCTGTCTAACAAGCGCCGATCTGCGTGGAGGGGGTTCAGTTAAGGGCGGTGCGTCCGCCTCACCCTCGTGCGACTTCGAGCGCTATCGGCCGACGCTCGCGTACGGGAATTTTTGCGAATGATAACGCCGAATGATAAGGGGACCACTGGCACTTTTCAAATTTCTCGTCCTGTCCAGGTGGCTGGGGGCGATGTTGTGACAATTGAATGTCGGCGGTGAGTGTGTCCGACTCAGCGATCGGCATTTGACTAAATGACTATCTCGGGCGGCACGGTAAGCACCGCCTTCTAAGTTTACCTGCGTCGGAGAGGGGTTAAATTCGCTCATTCAGATGATTCGCCTTTGCTTTTGAACGATTCATAAATCATCGGTGATTATTTTTTTATGATGGAGTTGCCGGTAATAGTCGACTGCTCGCGCATACTATTCGTTTCCAATTTTACCTATCCATATCATAGCATCTTACTAGATATCTCTAGCATTTTTATAGCATCATTCCTGCATAAAGTTTTGCTGGTTTTAATTACATAGGTATTTGATAGATATGTATATGTTTTTAGTCACTATTTTTATTCATTAAATTACACTTTATTTTATGGTGTAAGTTATTATTCGTTATTATTCTAAAAAATACCTAGGTGCCTAATTACTTAATAATTATTTTTTTCAGACAATTTATATTGTCAATTGTTGAGATAAAATTTAAAATTCGTTTTTTTATATTCTTTTAAAATTTATAAGTTTGTTTAATATCATAGTGCAAATCAATTCACATCAGGAACACTACTGTAAATATATTTTTTTTTATTTAATCGGTATAAATATATAGGTACATAAATTTATAAATTGCACGTAGAATATCTATTTTAACAACTAGGTAAATTAGCAAATCTTAAGATTTTTAAAAAAATGGTGGAAGTAAGGTTCACCTAAAATTATGATAAATGTATAACAATATATTCGCCATAAATTTTAAGATCTCCTGCAAGTATCAAATAAATTCTTATTGATTTTTCCCAAGTAGAAGTCCCAAGAAGAAAAACAATATTTTATTCTTTGTACATCTACAATATAGGTAATATACATAAATATATTCATACATTTCTTCATCAAAACAGTAGGTAATAAAATTCCGAACCAATTATTCACAGACGCCAAATTCCTGCAAGGGGCTCTCACGACCCGGTCAGAAATCGCCTTCAAATATTTCAAACGGTTGCGATTCGAAGACGCGTCATTGGATTTATGCTTCCTTTATTCTTTCGATTCTATATTAATATTTCCATAACAATATCGTGTAACTGTCATCGGGATTGTCTGGCGGCCTTTTATGGAAGCCGATGGTCATTCGTTTGCCCCATATCCAGCCCGTCCATCTGCGAGGAGACAGCGACAGCTAAGAGAATGGGAGAAAATGCTAAAATATCCAAATATCATACCCGACGCATTTGCATGTCGTACTGCTGTCCCGTTTGACAGATTTATTGGAATGGCTGCTGGAGAACAGCGCGATATTAAAAGTTGTGTATTGTTATGTATTCGAATGTGGTTGATACGTTACCTTCATTTCGAACACTAATAACAATAGGTATCTATACTCGGCGCGTTTGGAAGACGGAGTAATAAAAATGTCAGGCGGTTCCAAAATATCCCTACCCCTGTACGGCAAAATCCTGTACAATGATCGATTCGATCGATAGAAATTTCGCACATCGCCTACAATTACTCAAAACCATTCACAGAGTATCAACTTTTAGGCTGGCCAATGGGGAGTGAGTGATATCGGCGACTCGTTTACACCCCGGGTGGACTTCGGCTGATTAATGTGTTTATTACTCCGTCTTCCAAACGCGTCAAGTATACAAATGGTATGTATCTATACCATTTAATGGGTATCATTTATGAATCATAAGATCAATAGGTATAAAAATACTTTTAAACTGATTTTACCACATTTAAAAAGACAAGTAAGCTATAGCATTAGGTACAATTAAAATGTTTTTTGATGAAATCAATACTAAATTTTCATTATTATAGCATCTAAATCATCTATTACCGAGATAATTTACAATCTTAAAGTGTCATCCTTTGAGTCCGATGAACTGTAATTGTAATGGTAAATCACCCTTTTAGAAAGCGTTTCTAAACGAACTCTTTTCTTAACTGGTTCCTTTAAAAACATCGATGTAAAAGTCGAACTGGAAACTGTCATTGAAAATGAATATATTGTCGTCCTTTCGAGAATTATTTCGCAAAAATCGTGCCATATTTTTAGGGTGCGAGATATACTTAACTGCAAAGATCCATTATTAGTTTCAACAGAAGGAAGCCACCCCACAACAGGTGGTATACAACGGTAATTTATCATTCTTGAGTTATTGGAGTTGTTCGAAAGGACACTTTTTGGAAATATTTGTGCCTAATACTTTTCCTATCTATCTAGGTACGTATACCATAATTCGTAAAAATAAGATAATTGTTTTATAGCTTCATAAATTTTCAATGCAAAATACCTGAATATTTCCAAAGCAATTAATCTCATCGTTTAAATGCCTTCGCTGATATTTAGTCACAAATTTTCAGATTTGATTAAATAAATTAGCAATAGTTTGGTCTTGTATTCGCTTCTAGATGCCTCCTCGTTACGTTGCAGTGTTTTAAAATACCTATACAAGTGTGTACTTTATACAGAGTCATTCATCCGGCCATTTTTCAGTCCATTGTTTTATTTAACGTAAGCTTGAGTTTTGATTTTACTTTTTTAAATACTACAAGTGGAGAATTATTTTTAATAAGCAATTTGCTTGTTAATAATAATAAATTGAAACGAATAATCATTTATTTAAAATCATTGCGTATTGCGTAACTGTGAAAGATCATAGTTAAGAAAAATTTCTTTTTCTCGGTAGTGGAGGGGTTATTTTGTATAACAAATGTATCTACTATTTTCAACACTATTCAATTCATCGTTTCCTTAGGTATATTTCTTCTGCACATCTTTATTTAACTTAAAGGTACTTGGCTGATTTAAGATTTTTAATTAGGACAAATGCATTACCCTGTAAGTATGTATTAACAAAAAATATAATCCTCAAAATGGAGTGAAATCCAAAGCAGGCAATAATGAAAATATGCTACAATAAAATTGTAAATTCTTTCAGCTGACTCTTTGAATGTTACCGCTTTGTATACCTATCTGGACATTAATGGAGGCTACGAGACAAGCACGTTAATAATCAATTTAATGACTATTTTAAACCGTTTTTTTTATTCCGAATTTTTTTTCCTTTTTTATATCATTTCTGGTCGTTCATCGGATGCATATTAATTCTACCTGCCTTTTTCCACCAACATTTTGTTCATCCATTTTAATAAATAATACCCGCCCTAATAAACAATTTCGAACCTAAAATCGCTATTTACGAACCTTTCGACTCGCCTAAATAAATTCGAGGTATATTTCATTGACGCGATAACCAATTCGCTATTATTTCAGCGAATGATACTTTCCATTATGCCCATCCAAAATATTTAGCGAATTCATTACCTTCGCATTGAAGTGCACTGATATAAAAACAAAAGTGTCGCATTGCAAAAAGGCCGCAATGAATTAAACATAAATTTACAAATTTTAGTTTTAGTGTCCATTATCGCCGTTCGGAATTGATTTTATACGTTATACATGTTTCGGTTTTCTGCTTTAATAATTCAGGAGAGTAAATTAAAAAAAATGTTTTTCTGCATTTATTTATAACTACCCACTATGTTTTTTTATTCCCATTTGTTGTAATATCCTATATGATTGATATAGTGAGTTACATACAAGATGACAAGTTGGAGATTGCGGATAGCGAGCGGCGCCTATTGGAAAAATTTACTCAGACAACTTTATGACATTTTCGATGATTATAGATATCGATTTCTATATACGATAAGTTTTTGAACCCTCCTTACCGGTCTAAACGTGCGCCACAACGACCGGTAGCGAAAGTTTATTTATAAAATAACAAAACCGCCAAACCGCGCTCTCGCGTCTACTATTTATACAATACCAATTAGGCACTCAGCGAACACATTCATAGTGAAGCTTGAATGGACCGGCCCATGGCGATGATGTGATCCCACGCTCGATCTGAAATTTAAAACCCCGCTTTTTGAATGGTAATGACCATCGGCTCGCCTTCGGAATTTCAGGAGGACCTCAAACCTTCGGTCCCTCTTCGGTTCTTTACTAAAACCAATGCGCTCATTGGAAAATGCAATTTTTGGCGTGAAAATTGACGTCGACATTTCTGCAGTATTTATTCATATCGCGCACATCTGCGCGGAAACAAATTGGCGATAAAAGAAGAGTTAGGATTGATTCGTGACTGATATCGATGCAACAATTTACACGGGCTTCACGTTGTGATTCGGCGTTAAATCGAGAATTTTTCGGTCGTATTTTTATCTTGTGGGACTGCCTTTTTGGACGCAGAGCGACGATCGGAGACAGACCAGGTATACATCGTTCGTTATTTATTGCCCCTTTTGGAGACAATCAGATATAATCACACAAAATCCTAATCAATGTTAATTTATTGCCGGTCTCGGTAATAAACATATGAACCCTTTGTTTCATCCTCCCCGATGGATTTTTAATAATGAGCTGAAACTCGCAGTGGCGGCGACAACTCAATGTCCAAAAAGTGCTCGATTTGTTAGAAATCACTGCTTTTTTTTATTTTCTCATCATTATTGTTTGATCCGACCAAAATGCTGGGAATCAAATGGAAGACGTTTCTCGTATATGCAAAACTCCCATCACATGCAGATCGCCGTTGAGATTCGGAGCATGCTGAATAATAACAATGAAACCACCAGCGATATTTTTGTGACGTGTATTGGTAAGTTGAGTTGACAGGTTTATTGCTTGCTGTGAGCATCGTTTTAATTCGAACGTTGTGTCATCTCGCAGATGCTCGATTCAGAAGAGACTCGTCTTCAATCCACTGTTGACATTTCGATGTGGTTTTCGTTGTTTGGATGTTTCCCTCATTATAAATAGGAATAAAATTATTTACACCTTCCTTCGTTATAAAACTGTTAATACTTCTAATATACCTACATCTACAATCGGTATGCAGGAATGAAGAAAAGTATCTTCCCGGAGTTTATTAGTGGTATGTTACGGGACATACCAGCCTGGTCCAGATTCGTCGGGCATAAATAATGCATGAGTGGTTGATGTCGATATGAAAACTA